GTTGTTGGTTTCTGTTGGCTGAGATTTTGTTGAGAATGTTTCCATCTATGTTCATATGTATCCCCCAATCCCACTGCCTTCAAGTTGCTCCCAACATATAGCAACCTTCTATAGGGCTTCCGGGCTTTTAATCTTTAAGGGACCAGGATAGTTTCCCCTGTAACTTGCCAAAATTTATTTTTGTGTGGCTGATTTACTAATATGTCATATGTATTAGGTATTCTGTTATTGAGTTAGTGAAGACAACTCTTTATTGATTTCTTTATATAGAATGCTATATTTATGAGCTTAAGTTTATCTTCAAATTCATTTTTAATGATTTTGTAATGAACATTAAAGGTAAATCTTTGTTTTATGAAACTGTAGTTATTAAGGATAATGAATCTAGAATCGTTTTGATAGCTATTTTTATGTATGCTTTAGGCATCTGCATTCAATAGGAGTTTTAGTTACTATTTTTAATATATTAAGTTAAGCCCTATGAAACTGCTGTTTCTGTAAGTAAAAACTGTTCAGTTCAAATAATGACATTTTCATGTGATTCAAATTAGTTAAGTAATTCTCCACAGTAAGAAAACCGAGCAGATTCATGTTGTTGTTGTTAAGTGCCACGGAGTTGGTGTGAACACATAGCAACGTCTGTGCAACACGGCCCTCTGTGCCGTCTTCACAACGCTCTTCTCTGAGCCGCTCTGTCAGTCCGTATCAAGGGCCGCCTTTTTTGTTGACTTTGTGAAGTATGCTTTTCATTCTTAGTTTTATTTCATTATCTTCAGAAAGCATTATCAGTCCTAAAAGAAACAAACATTTTCTATGTTTGAATGAATTTGGCCTTTCTATTCATCTTTTTTCCCCATTAATTGTATTTCATTTCACATGACTAGATTTTACTGTTTTCTTGACTTTGAAAGGAAAATCAACTATATTATGATCCTTCCACTGGGATTTATTACTATTGTGATGTGGAAAGTGGTCGATACCAGTTTCATTCTCGAGTAGATCTTCAACCATATCAGACTTCTAGCACAAAACAAAGTAAAGATAAAAAATTGAAGAAGAAAAGAAAAGATCCAGATTCTACACCAAGTGAAGAAAAGGTAATGAATGCCTTTATCATTTATTTTTTTAAGTTATATAATGGTGATAGCATGATACATCCAAAAACTTTGATGAAGCTAAAAATCATTTGGTAAATCTGTACTTCAAATCATTAAACAGTATAGCATAATCCTTATAAGTCAAAGAGATTGTAGATGAGACAAACATGGACTTGCTCACAAATTCTCAGCCTCTCGAACTAGAAGGCACTTAATACTTGAAAGATAATTTTAGGGCAGGTAATATCTGATTGTATAATTTGGAAGAAAAGCATGATCCTGAACCGAGAAGTTGAAATCCATGCACAATTAACAAAAAAGAAAAATAATTTGTAAATAGAGTTACAGAAAGATTCAACTTTCTTAGTTAGGATGAGTCATTTCTTGCCTGCTAAAAACCAACTGCCATGGAATCAACTCTGGTTCATTGCAGCCCTATGTGTGTCAGAGCAGAGAACTGTGCTGAATAGGGTTTTCAATGGCTGGGGTGGTTTTTTAAAATAATTTTATTGGAGGCTCTTACATCGCTTACAGCATTCCATATATCAATTGTGTCAAACATATTTTTAAATATCTTGCCATCATTTTCAAATATTTTTCTGTTCATTTCCTCCCCTCTCTCCCCCCTCCCACCCTCGTGAATCCTTGATCAATTATATATTGTTATGAATGGCTGATTTCTTAAAAGTAGATCATCAGGCCTTTCTTTCAAGGCCTATTGGTAGACTCCAGCTTCCAACTTTTTAGTTAGCAGCCCAAGGGAGTTAATCATCTTCCCTACCACCCAAGATGACTATTATTAGCAAGCTTAAAAAAAATTGCTAGCAAACAAGGAATGAGATAATATTGGTAGATTCTTTTTGAAAATGTAATTAGAAATGATCAGTTCTAGCAACTTACTATTTTTTCATACAAACAAAAATATTTGCATAATGATGCAGCAATATTTATAAGAACATAGTATTGAGAAAAATATTAAGATTTAAGTTGCCAGCAAGTTAGTGGTTGCAATCATTAGTGTCATTAAATATAATTATAAAAGGATTATGTAGCCCTTAAAAATTATAGTTTTAAAGAATGAAAAATTTAAAAAATACTTATGATAGCAAAGTTAAATTTAAATAAGTAATTTGTAAAAAAATGTTATCCGTGTTCTAGTTCTGCTCCCAGGTATAAGGATGGTGGTATATAGGCTGGAAACTATTTTGTGAATTGTGGCAATTGTTTGATACTTTACTCTTTAATTTTGTCTCTTTTATTTTGTTTAATACATTTTTTTCTATTCTGTTTATCTTTTCACTGACAATATTTAGAAATTGAGTAGTATCTGACTAAAATACTAAACAAGGTTTTTTGTTTGCTTATAATGACTCACATTTAGTGCTAGTGATGGAGTTGTTGGTTTGAAAGGATAGGTTGGTACGTGCTTCTCCTGAGCAATGAGAAGAGAATACCTAAAGCCAAAGTCACGCCATCGAGTTGATGCTGACTCATCGCAACCATGGGTCCTCATGACCATTGCTGCCGAAATAGAGAATAAAAGTTGAAATTGTTAGTTAACTAGTTCCCGTTTCTGCTCATTTTTAACGCTTTCCTGCTGAAAATAGGTGACCTGGGTACTCAAGAAAAATCCTGATGGAATTTTGAGAATTCTTCAAGGGTCCTTAAAGGTGGTGCTTTGAAGAATGAGAGACCATATGGGCCATCCTCATTTTCTGTCCCCACACCTTCCCCCACCCCCAGTATGTTTTGGTGCCTGCCTTTTTAAAGGAGGAGAATCTGTGGAGGAGAGGAGTATAGTAGAGATTAGAAAAATACCTTAATCTGTACAGCTGTGTCTCGGTGTCCACATGTATGCACCCCTGCTTTTTAATCTCTTTTAATGACTGTTTAACATTCTAGACTGGCATATACTGTTTGAAGAATAGTCCTATGGCAGTTTGACCAATTTATATCTTGTCCAATGAACATTAATAATAACAAAATTTTCAAGATTAGAAACTACTTTCAGTGTACTTACATAGATAGGACTTTGTTGTTGTTGCTATTATCCATGGTGGTTTGTAAGCTCCTTGTAGTTTTTCAACTCCTTGCCCTTGTTCTTGTCCTTGATGTGTTTGTAGTGCTAGAAACAAATAGTTTATCACACTGTAACTGTTCAGCCAATCTCCAAACTGAATGTATGCTGCTGTTAAATGTGTGTCTAAGATGTTGCCATATCTCATAAAATAGCAAAGAACTTATAAATGTATTTTGTCATGCTGCTTTCACCTATAAAGGAAATTCAGAGTATGTTACAGATCAAAGATAAAAGAGAAAAATAATTTCCTTGCCTGCTCTAAGTTTAAAATAATAGACTTGTTTGGTATAAAACATTTAAAACAATACATATATAATAAAAAAGCTGTACAAAAATTGAATATAAACTATCTCATTTGTTTAAAATTGATTACATGTTAAAATGATATTTTGTTTATACTGGGTTAGATAAAATATTGAAATTAAATTTCATTTCTTTTTACTTTTTTAAGCTAGCTATGAGAAAATTTATAGTCACAAATAGGGCTCATGTTTTTAGTGGACAGCATCTGTCTAGGTTTCATGAGTCATGATGTGGGATTAGACTAGGGTTATTGGTCTGTTGAAAATAGATGAGAACATATTTGGCATAGATTGTGGTTCCATGTGGTTATTAAGGATCATTACAGGATTTTTTATTTGCACTATCAGGGTCTGGTAATAACATCTAGCAAGAGAGGGAGCTGGATGAGGAAAGAGGACACGAATGTTAACTATTAGTTTTGAGTTTGAGGAAATTCATAGATTGTATCTTGGTAGAAGGTGATGACTGTACACACAGATTTGGGCATTACCAGCATGTAAGTGCTAGCTGAAACAGAAAATGTTGAGATATGTGAGAGTGTTAAGAGGCAAATGAAAGGGTGATGGTGAAGCTAAGAAAACACATTTAAGGACCAAGAGTGAAGGATATCTTTGAACTGATTGTACTATCCTGCCAAATATTGTTTAAGAAATAATTTCTAGGGAAAATTAGCATATTGATGAAGTTCACTGAAAAGGAAATTTGTAAGGATAGGAAGTCAACTAGATTTTTAATTCTTTTTTTAAAATCATTTTATTGGGGGCTCTTCAAGCTCTTATCACAATACGTACATCCATTGTGTCAAGCACATTTGCACATATGTTGCCATCATCTGTTTCAAAACATTGTCTTCTACTTGAACCCTTGGTATCAGCTTATTTCCCCTCCTCAAGAACCCTTGATAATTTATTAATTTTTATGTGATTTTTAATTCTCATAACTCCTGGACTAAAATATCAAAGTATATATGTCATTTTGTTCTCTGCCCATGTTTATTTCTCTAGCCCCTCTCAAGGAAGCAAACATTCTGATTTAGTGGAAAGAATGTTGGACTGAGGCCAGGAGACCCAAGTTTCAGTTGTACTTAATTAGGTGTGTTACCTGGGTAATTCCATTTACCTCTCTGTTACTTAATATTCTTGATGTGTAGAGCAGTGGTTCTCAACCTTCCTAATGGTTCTCAACCTTCCTAATACCGCGACCCTTTCATACAGTTCCTTATGTTGTGGTGACCCCCAACCATAAAATTATTTTCGTTGCTACTTCATAACTGTAATTTTGCTACTGTTATGAATCGTAATGTAAATATTTGATATGCAGGATGTATTTTCATTGTTACTACTGGAGCATAATTAAACATAATAAAATCACAGTAACTAATCACAAAACAATATGTGATTATATATTGTGAAATATTTACGTGTTTTCCAATGGTCTTAGGCAACCCTTATGAAAGGGTCATTTGACTCCCAAAGGGGTCACAACCCACAGGTTGAGAACCGCTGGTGTAGAGTGAAGTCTGTGGGCTAGGTAGGGATTCTTCAGAATTTTTATGAAATGAACACCTGCTCCTTATCAAATGAATTCTTCACCTAGATCCCCAGAGTATAAAGCTAGAGATACTTCACTGGCTGTAGTGCCTTATGCAGTGAAATGCTACTCATAACCCCTCCCCTTCTAAAACACTTGTAACCCAGGGCATTAAGCGACACACTAATTAGACTACAGGAAGCCCTATGACACTATGGGTTAGGCATTGGGCTGTAAACCACCAGACAGTGGTTCAGACCCACCAGCCATTCCAAAGGACAATGATGAGGCTATCTGCTTCTCTAAAGTTACATAGCTTCAAAAATAATAAAATATTTTAAAGGTTAATAGTCTCCAAGGCGCTCTGTAGGGTCACTGTGAGTTGGAATGAATTGGATGGCCGTAAGCTTGTTTTAACTAGACTACATAACCTCTAGAGGACTTTTGCTATACAATTAGACTTACATCCTACTTTCCTGCCATCTGAAAGCAGTATGACTGAGCATGTTCTTTGAGTTTCATGGTGGTAGATTTAGATTATACATCCAAGCTATCATTTTTGTTGTTTTCCTCTGTAATAAACAATTCAGAATAGCTAGCCATTGT